TTCAAAAATGGCTGGTAAAACTTAATCCTGGTTTAGATGCTAAATTTGTCCCTCAAAATTTTCTCCCACTTGTTGCCAAGGCTATGTCTGTACTTCATGCTGGTCAAAAAGACAATCTGATTTATATCGCTGCTCGATGCTTTGGAGAACGACGCCATGGAGATGTTGGTCCTAGAATGCCATATATTGGATAGAATGCCCTTTATAGCAGTGAAGGCCCACTTGGCCTTAACAGTATATTGTATAGATGCTGTTACACAACTAATTCAGATAAAGTTTGAGAAATGGTTGTTCTTATGCACCTATCAATGTTAAGCCCCACAGAGGGGGGTCGGACATATGTGGGGCATTTGATTTTTTTTAGCAAATTTTCAATCAAATGCCCCACTGTTGGGCAATAAATATTGGTCAAACACATACCTTAACATTTTGCAATAAACTGCAATAAATACTATATTAATAAAAGTAATTTTGGTTCAAATTGCCCTAACTCGGGCCCAAAATCCTAATCAAAATCCCTACGGTGGGGATGCAATTAATGATCAAATACCCCAGATCTGGGACTTAACATTGATAGATGATTATATGCAGGTTTTTTTTGTATTCTCATATAATGTACCACAAAGTATCAGCAGCATGTTATTGTGGGACCTTTGATCAATATGTATATATAAATAGACATATTTTTGTTTTATTGTTGCATTAATTTTAATGAAAAATTACTCACAAAGTTGGTCAAGTGAATGCATAAACTATTTATTTATTCATTTAGTGTACAGCACATGTACAAGACAACAAAGTACAAGAGCGGAAGTGTGCGGGTTTTAGTGTTGTGAATGTGAATGTAAATCAGTAAAAATCGTCCATCGTCCATCGTCCAGGTTTTAGCACGTCAAGAGAGAGGTCACGCTAATTTTTATCTTGAGAGTAAGCGATCAATTAGGGTCCAAAACTTCGTTTCAGGAAATTTAGGAGATAATCTGAATTGTCGCGGGTTTTATTCGCGGGTCGCAGGTTTTTTTCGCGGGTTATTAACGAAAGTCGCGGGTTATTAACGAAAGTCGCGGGTTTTTTCGCGGGTATTTTGTCGCGGTTTTTTTTTCGCGGGTCTTTTCTAATTTCCTTGTGAGCGTTCTTTGCCGGGGGGATGTGTTTGCACGAAACACCGCCCGTTCTCTTCACAATAAGACCCCATTAAACTTTATTTTTTGGTGTATACAGTGTCTTTTTGGTGTATACAGTGTCTCTGTTGATAACTCTATTAAAAACTCTGTTGATTCATGCAATATCGTTACAAACGGTAAAGAATCGTGTTTTAATTTTATATGGTGGCAGTTGGTCGTTTATAAAAGACTATTAAAATAGCCCATCACTGCATTAAACTCAACTGATAAATTAATACTAATATGACAATGTACAGTTTATGATAACTATAAAATATGCACTTCTGAAGCCTATTGTTCAAACTCGTTACTCGTTAGCATGCATTATTAACCCTAAGTTGAATGCTAAGCCCATATTTTGGTTATACGTGTTTGTGAATGAACGTTCGACTTTATTTTAAAAAACCAGCATGAGCTCCACCTTTGAATTTACTATATGAGCATATTATTATGATAATTTCGCGGCACCTATCCCCTATATATCCCTAACCCTAACAACTAATCGCTAACCCTTAACCCTAGCTTAACACTAACCCCTAACCTTTTGAAAATCTTGAAAATCTATCTATTTATGGAAGGGGGGAGGGAAAAATAAGGAGGGGGTCATATGTATAAATAAATGACTAGAAGGGGGCTATTAAATTTTTTCAAGAAAATGAGGAGGGGGGAGGGGTTGCAATTAAATTTGAAGGAATTTGTTTAATTAACAAGTCTGGTATCCATTTAGTTGATAAATGTTGCGACTAAATCATGGTCACTGATGTGAAATCATCTGGATTTATCCTGTCTTTTGTGTGCTGTATGCAAATCACTGACTCGTCCCCAGTCGCTCAGGTGAGAGTCCTTTATATTGGAGTTCTCTATAAATGCCCAACCATTTTCCTCATGTTGTGAAAATGGTTGGGCATTTATAGAGAACTCCAATATAAAGGACTCTCACCTGAATTCCAGAGGACTACACTTAAATCCCTCTGGTAGTTTGCTATTACAAAACAATTTTAAATTATTACTTAGAAATTGACTATGTGAAAATGTGAGTGCTAATTCTCAAAATTCTACATCCAACCCATTTCCTAATTGTGCAAATTCTAGGGGGTTTAAGATGGCTTTACTTAATATAGCCAGCTTACCTAAACATGTTGAGGAATTACGCATATCTAAACTCTTTTCAAATTTAGATTTATTTGCTTTAAATGAAACCAGACTAGACAATACCATTTCGGATGGCTTAGTAAATATCAGTGGTTACGATATAGTCAGGAAAGATCGATCTCGTCGAGGGGGTGGTGTATGTATATATCTCCGTACTTCTATTAACTATAAAATTCGAAATGATCTGATTCCTGAGAGTATCGAAGCGGTCTGTTTGGAGATTTGCAAACCAAATAGTAAACGTTTTATTGTTGCATCTGTTTATCACCCACCAGATTCCACTTCTGAGTTCTTTGTTGATTTTGAAAAGATGATCAAATCGATTGATGACGAAAACAAAGAACTGCATATCTTAGGGGATTTAAATTGTAATTTGCTTAATACTGTTTCTGATCAACCAACCAGTTATCTCAACTTATTACTGAGGCGACACGAATAACAAATATTTCTTGTACACTTATAGATCACTATATAACATCTATGCCAGAGAAAATTAATTCGACTGGCGTAATTCATACGGGAATTAGTGATCACAGCTTAATTTATGGTATAAGAAAAATCAATCCCATTGTGTCTACACGCAATATGACCAGGAATGTTGAGGTCAGAAACATGAAAAGGTTTAACCATAACTCTTTTAGAGATGATCTTCTAGCTCAGCCATGGGAGCAAATTGTTCTGGAATCAAATACTGATTCCATGTGGGCCCTTTGGAAAAAGTTATTTTTGGAAGTCTTGGATAAGCATGCCCCTGTTCAGCGTAGTAGAAAAAGAAAATCTGGCGTTCCGTGGCTGACTGGGGAAATTAAAAAAATTATCTTTGAAAGAGATAAATTAAAGCGTGAGGCAATGGTGACTGGTACCCATGCATGCTGCTTGGGATAAGTACAAATCAACTAGGAATAAGGTCAATATTGCCCTACGACAAGCTAAAACAGATTATTTTCGCACTAAAATATCAAATCAAAATAATAATCCAAAAGAGGCTTGGAAGACAATCAATAACTTACTCGGTCGTTCTCCAGGTAATACTGTTGTTAATGAATTAAAATTTAATGATACAAAAATTACCTCACCTGAAGAAATTGGCAATGCTTTTAATACATATTTTACTGACATTGGCCCTAACTTAGCTAGTTCTATTGATGATACTGACATTACGTTTGATCGTTTCGTCAAACCAGCTACATCAAAAATGACACGCTTTAAGTTAGTTTCACATACTAAAGTAGTCAAGCTTCTAAATGGTTTATCCAATTCGAAAGCAACTGGTCTTGCTAAAATATCTGGAAAGATCTTAAAAACTGCAGCCCCTACTATTGCCTTATCACTCACACACATCTTTAATCATGCTATCATAACAAGCTGTTTTCCATATGAATGGAAAGCTGCTAGACTTCTACCACTTCATAAAAAGGGTCCACGAGATCTCCCAGAAAACTATAGGCCAATATCAATCTTACCTGCAATAAGTAAAGTTATGGAAAGAATTATGTATGATCAGATCTACGAATACCTTAACGACAATTCGATCCTTTCTGAACACCAATTTGGTTTCCGCAAATCTCATTCAACTGCTTCGGCTCTTTTGGATTGCACGAACAGTTGGTACGTTAATATGGACCGCAAAATGTTTAATCTGGTTGTATTATTGGATTTAAAAAAGGCCTTTGATACTGTAAACCATGATATTTTGGTGCGAAAACTTGAGCTATACGGTATCAATGACAGTGCCTTAACCATGATACAATCATACTTGTCTGATCGCAAAACAGAAATGCCAACTGGAGACGTAATGTCATCTGAGCGGCATGTGACATGCGGTATTCCACAGGGATCCATCCTTGGTCCACTTCTCTTCCTCTTATATATAAATGATCTTCCAGAATGTCTTCATGAAGCTGCCCCTCGGCTATTTGCCGATGACACCACTCTTACGGTAGCTGGTGAGTCAATAGAGGAAGATGAGTTGGCCATGAATAATGATCTCCTTAGTGTACATACCTGGCTTTTAGCCAACAAACTGAGTCTCAATGCTTCAAAAACCGAATTTATACTTATTGGTTCAAATCACAGATTAACGAACCTTACTAATCAACCAAATATAAAAATAGATCAAGGCAAAATTAAGCAAGTTCATCATAGTAGATTACTTGGGGTTCAAATTGATGAAAAATTGTCTTGGAACAAGCATGTTGAAAGCGTGGCCAAGAAGGTTACTTCTGGTGTAGGAGCTTTAAGAAGAATACGTGACTTT